TGGTTTTCGGTGGCAACTGTTAGGGCTCTCTGGCTTCTGGCATTTTCTGATTGACAAGGAGATGCTGTACATTTCAGATGGTAAAATAACACGAACACGGCAGAGGTGAAATGTCTGGGCTGGAAAGTAAACCCAAACGTTTCAACACACCTTAACCTCTCTCCTGTTTAGGCTTCGCCGCGTCGTCCTTTCTCTGAGACAGGCACCAGGCCTTGCCTTCCTCCACTCTGGGTTTGTCTGCCAAGAGGGGTTCCCCTGAAAGCCCCCAGGACGGTTTTACTTCCACGATAACGCCATGCAGCCATTTATAATTTCACTGAGGCCCCTTTACTGTTTCGATAAACTATACAGGACGCTCCAAATAAGCACACTGGTGTTCGTCAAGCTGCACAGGCTGTAAACCGTGGAGCCTTCTTTGCCTCGGTTCTTACACACGTGTTAGGGCAGACCTGTCATTCCCATTCCCCTCCTGCATCAGCACCTTGGACTTGCTCCTAACACCCACCCTGCTGGCTCTCCCTCCTCTTCTTTTGAAACTCACCTCCTCTTTCTGTCTTCTGTCTGCAGTGCGCCTATCCTGTCCGCCCCCTCCACCAGAGATTTCCGCTGTGTTCTCCTGCCTCCAGCCTCCACCGTCCTGGTCCACACCCGAATCCTCGCTCAGCCAATGTTGCTGCAGCCCACCTCCCCAAATATCCTTACCTCGCTGACCTAGCCAAAAGCTCACTGAGGCCACGAGGTTTGCTTAAAATTTAAAATTCTGACCCATGTGAAATTCTCAACTTTAGTAGTGACCACTGTGTGCATGGTAATTCCATGGAGGGATCCAGTTTCGACTAAATCCATGCTAATCCCGTGGTCTTCTCCCACCAGTTTGAGGGCCAGCCATAGGTTCTCCGTTTGCCCAGATTGCTCGTCTTGCCTCTCTTGACTTATCTTCAAAGTCTTTGACCTTCCTTAAGATGCCCGATTCCCCTAAAAACTGTTTTATTTGGGGCAGCATTCCCATAAACATGAGTCCGAAGCTCAGTGACTTGGGGAAGATGTCACCATTTTCCGCCTATGGAACAAAAGGTACTCTTTTGTTTTTTGTAAAGGACCCCAGCGACGCTAGGGCAACTATATAACTGAGAAAACGTGTTCAGAGCCAGTCAGACACGTGTTTAAACACCATTTGTTTGGAGACCAGGGACTCTGAAGGCTCTGTCAATTTCACGTTGTGAAATACTTCCCCCTGACTGTGCGGTATTAAATTGGGGAACATCTTTTCACCTGCGATCATTTGTTTTTGATGGGTGCACAAGCTCTGCGAAGTCTTCTTGTTGAGAAAGTACCCTCCAACAACTCCCTTTTTAAAAAAAAATTTTCCATGAACCCTTTTTTTAAAAATCATTTTATTAGGGGCTCATACAACTCTTATCACAATCCATACATACATCAGTTGTGTAGAGCACATTTGTACATTCATTGCCCTCATCATTCTCAAAACATTGGCTCTCCACCTAAGCCCCCGGCATCAGCTCCTCATTTTCCCCCCTCTTCCCTGCTCCCCACTCCCTCATGAACCCTTAATAATTTGTAAATTATTATTTTGTCATATCTTGCACTGTCCGACGTCTCCCTTCACCCACTTTTCTATTGTCTGTCCTCCAGGGAGGAGATCACATGTAGATCCTTGTAATCAATTCCCCCTTTCCAACCCACCCTCCCTCCACCCTTCCTGTATCGGCACTCACACCACTGGTCCTGAAGGGATCATCTGCCCTGGATTCCCTGTGCTTCCAGTTCCTATCTGTACCAGTGTACATCCTCTGGTCAAGCCATATTTGTAAGGTAGAATTGGGATCATGATAGTGGGGGGTGGGGAGGAACCATTAGGAACTAGAGGAAAGTTGTATGTTTCATCGTTGCTACATCGCACCCTGACTGACTCATCTCCTCCCCGAGGCCCATCTGTAAGGGGATGTCCAGTGGCCTACAAATGGGCTTTGGGTCTCTACTCTGCATTCCCCCCTCATTCACAATGATATGATTTTTGTTCTGATGATGCCTGATCCCTGATCCCTTTGACACCTCATGATCACACAGGCTGGTGTGCTTCATCCATGTGGGCTTTGTTGCTTCTGAGCTAGATGGCCACTTGTTTACTCTCAAGCCTTTAAGACCCCAGATGCAATATCTTTTGATAGCTGGGCACCATCAGCTTTCTTCACCACATTTTCTTAAGCACCCGCTTTATCTTCAATGATCATGTTGGGAAGGTGAGCCATCATGGAATGCCAGGTTTATAAAACAAAGTGTTCTTGCATTGAGGGAGCACTTGAGTCAAGGCCCAATGTCCATCTGCTACCTTAATACTAAACCTGTAAATGTATGCACATAGATCTATTTCCCTATCATTATATATAAATATATTTACATATGCACATGCCTGTATTTAGACCTCTGTAAATTGCCCGTTGCCTCCTGGTTCTTTGCTCTATTTCCTTTTATTTTCCTCTTGTCCCACTATCATGTTCAGCCTTCATTTGGTTTCAGTAATTCCTCTCAGTTACATTGCCCTTGACTAAGCCCTACCAGGCCTCGTATGCCCCTTTACCATCGATTTTGGATCACTTGTTGTTCCCTTGTCCTCCCTAGGTTTGTTAACACCCACTTCCTTTCCTTCCCCCCCTCCCCCATTCCCCACTTCCACTAGCGTCAGTCCCATTGTTTTCACCTCCAGATTGTTCTTACCTTTTCTGGATAGACCTGCAGAGATAATAATATACACACAAAACAAAACAAGACAGAGCAAAACAAAGCAACAAAACAACAACAACAAAATGACAGAAAAAAAGAAAAGCCTGTAAATAGATCAAGGTCTGTTTGTTGACCTATGGAGTGTTTTCTGGTAGAGTCTGATGGGGTGTCACACCCTGGCCCCACAGTCTATTTTTGCTATTCCCTGGGGACTCATTGCTCTGTTCCTCTTGATGTTCTGTTGCATGTCCTTAGTGTTTTGCCTCAGTGTGGTGGGGTCAGTTCGGGGGCATTTCCCACACTGTGTCTTCAGTGTTGTCCCCCGTAGCACTGTGGGTCAGTCAGGGACTTAGTTTCTTATAGTAGGAGCTGTAGCGTCAGTGCTGTCCTCTGAAGTACATTTTTCTGTGGGACGGTGGGGCTGTCTGGTGGGCCTGTGCATGTAGTTGGGATTAGGGCCGGCCTCTCAGTCCTCTCTATTGTTTTCCTGCTTCATGCCGGTATGTTGCATTCACGTCTTGGAGCATCAGATTGAAGTCTGGTCCCTCTTTCCCCATGGAGATATAAATAATGCCCTCCCCTTGGGTGGTTAGTGCCCTGCTCTCTTGCTACTCATGTCTTTCCCCCCCCCCCTTCTGTACCTCCTTTTTAATTGGCGATCATATGTATCCCTGGATTTTGTCTGACCCCTTCCATTCCTCACCCCAGGAATGTTTGTATACAGTAGCTTTTTCCCTACGCCCCTTTTGCATTCTTAAGCTTACCTCAGTGGACTCATGTTGTACTTGTCCATTTGTGCTTGGCTTAATTCACTTAGCATGATTTCCTGCAGTTCTTCCCATGCGGCGATATGCTTCGTGCGTTCATCACTGCTTTTTAGCGATGCGTAGTACTCCATTGTATGTACGTACCACAGTTTTTTAATCAACTCGTCCGTTGATGGACATTTGGGTTGTTTCCAACTCCTTGCGATTGTGAACTGCGCCACAATGCACATTGGAGCACAGCTGGCAGGCCCTCCCACAGCCCTTTTAAGAAACTCATTTTGTTGGTTGTTGGGAGTCTACACAGTAGGACACCAGTTCAATGGTGTCCACAGGTACCGTTCGGGATCCTGAGGACATTCTCAGTGTGCCACCATTTTTTTCCTCCTCTCACCTGTTCTTTCCCATTATCATAAACTCACCACCTCCTAAGGTTTCTGTCTAATCTCTCCATTCACCGTGAGCAAATGGATCCCACGAACTAATGCGTAAAAGATCATACCTCTCAAGGCAGAGATTTTTTTTTAACTAGGTAGTTAAACTCTAATCCTGTTTGGTTTAGAGAGATTCCAAGGGATAGTTTTTTTTTTTTTTTAAGATTTAAAGATTATCTCAGGACAACCATCTCAAGGGTTCATCCAACTTTGACAACTCTAGGAACTGTAGATATGCTGGTTTGCCCCCCCCCCACCCCCTCTTTTTTTTGTCAGGATTGGCCAGTGGAGTCTTTGATCAGTGTGTGCAGTAGTGATTGCCTGGCACCACCCAGTTCTTCTGGGTGACAAAAGAGGTCCTTGTTCATGGGGACAATTAGCCACACCACCCTTGTCCTCCTCCTCCTCCGGATTCTCCTTCCTCTCTGTTGCTTCAGGAGACCAGAGAATAATTGTTGTGTCTTGTGTGCCACGGCTCTTTTTTAAATCGAACCATCTCTGGTTCTTGGGTTACTGATCGCAGCCTAAAACAAAATGGCTCTCTGCTGCCAGAAGGGGAATTCTTTCTGAGCAGTAAATGAATCTAGCAGAGACCTTTCTGAGCAGTTAATGATTCTAGCAGAGACCTCTGGAGGAAGGACCATTGTGTGATCCCTCAGCCCCTGGGTGTTTGCCAGGCACTCAGGGAGGAGATGGTTCTCCAAGGACTAGGACACTTTAAAGAGAAATGGCCTTCCTTACTGGATCAGCCACACCCACACCTGTACATCATTAGGGGCTGGCTTCCCTCAAAGATCATTGATGTCCTCTCGATATACCTTTCTTTCATATGAAGTGCATTCCAGACCCGCGCTTTATCATCCTTCCTCCATTTGGGATTCGGTTTAACCAGATTTCTTAGTGCAACGGGGTGGTGTTTGTGAGTTACAGTTGGCCAGACTGCAAGGCTAGTTGTCCAGTTGTAAACTGTTGAGTGTTTCGTGTGTGTGTGTGTGTGTGTGTGTGTGTGTGTGTGTGTAAATCCTTCTTTAGTAAAGCTTTCTCATTTGTTCTTTCCCAGATTTCAACCAGGTGATGGCCGAGCCCAGCCAGATGCCGAAGCAGCTGGACTTACAGAATGGTAGCATAGAGGAAGGTTTTGAAGCAAATTCCCTTGGGAGCGAGCCCCTGCACATGATGGAGAGCCTAAGCCAGAAGAAATACTCCACCAGCCTGCGATTTAAAGCCAACGGAGACCACTCTGGCTCCTATTTAACGCTCTCACAGCCTGTGCCTGCGAAGAGAAGCCCCTCGCCTCTGGGAACCAGCGTCAGAAGCAGCCCCTCCTTGGCCAAAATCCAGGGAAGCAAGCAGCTCTCATGTGATGGTGCGGACAGAAACATTTCCACAAAGCCGCCCACCCCGTTGGTCAGCACCTCACCCTCCCTCAGCGGCTGTTCCCTCGGGAGAGCAGACTTTGATCACAGTCCAGGCCGGGACAGGGAAAGGTCCTGGCGGCTTGCAGAGAAGCCTCCCTATTCCAAATTCAGCTCCAAGAATAAATCCCACGACAATGTCTACTTTTTGGGCGGACTGGAAGGCCGCAAGGCGTCTGGCTCCCTCCTGGCCATGTGGAATGGACCTTCCCAGAGTGACCGGAGCTGCTCCCCGGCCAGCAGCAGGTCAGGGGCGGCAAGCATGCCTTCCAGCCCAAAGCAAACCAGGCGAATGAACCTTCAGGACAACCTGACACTTCAGCCCAAGCTAAGCAGACACAGGGAGCTGCCGTCCGAACACATCAATGTGAGAACGAGGAAGCTTTCGGGCAGCAGCCTGAGCCACATGGGAGCCTATAGCCGATCCTTGCCCAGGTTGTACAAAGCCACCGAGAACCAACTGATGCCTCTCAGTTTGCCACCGAGAAACTCCCTGGGCAATTCAAAACACACAAAACAGGGGGAAAAGGATCTACCTCACAGTATCGTAGACAGTGACAATTACCTTAATTTTTCTTCTCTAAGCTCAGGGGCTTTACCCTACAAAACCTGTGCATCCGAGGACAGTCCTTATGTGAGCTCTCCCCTCAGTGTCCCTGCCAGCCCTCGCATGGCTCGGAAGATGCTGCTGGCCTCCACATCCTCCTGTGCCTCTGATGACACGGACCGGGCCCCGTACTCAGGGACAAGCCCGAGTCAGGCCTTTCCTCCTGGAGAGCCCGACAGAGGCTATGCGGCCAGGAGGAACTACTCGTGTGGCTCTGTGGAGTTTGACGATTCTGACTTGGACAGCCTCAGGCAGGCCTCAGGAACCCCCCAGCCTGCCCTGCGGGAGCGGAAGAGCAGCATTAGCTCCATTTCAGGACGCGACGAACTGATGGATTACCACCGGCGGCAGAGGGAAGAAAGACTCAGGGAGCAAGAGATGGAGCGACTGGTAATCTTCTCCCTCTGCTTTGACCCCGCTGCTTCGTGGAACAGTTTCCTCAGGGCAGCCTAGAGGGCAGACTGCTTCAAGGATGTGCAGCCCCAAGCCCAACCACTGGTATTGAGTTGATGCCAACTCATGGTGATCTCGTATAGGGTTTCCAAGGCTGTAAATCATTACAGCAGTTAGCCTCATCATTCTTTTGAATAACCTCTGGTGGGTTTGAACCGCTAACCTTGCGATTAGTAGCCCATTGTCTAACCCATGGTAAAATTAGGGCTCTTTAAGGATGTATATGCCAGGAGGTAAAATTTCTAGGTACATCATCATGGCTGTCGTTAGCCCCCTCTTAGACTTTCTCCTGGTGTCCGTCCTATTTCCAGATAACTATTGTTAGTCATCAATAGGATCCCTAGTGGCGTATTGGTTATGTTTTGGGCTGATAACCAAAAGGTCAGCAGTTCGAAACCACCAGCTTCCTTCCAGGAGAAAGATGAGGCTTTCTACTCTCATCAAGAGTTACATTCTTCGGGACTGACCAGGAGCAGTTCTACCTTGTCCTATAGGGTGACTATGAGTCAGAATCAACTCAATGGCAATGTATTCGAGTTGAGTAAAGGTATTTTGACAAGGAGTCCTGGTGACACTGGTTAAGTGCTTGGCAGTTAACTGAAAGGTAGACAGTTCAAACCCACCAGCCACTCCATGGGAGAAACATATGGCAATCTGTTTCCATAAAGCTTTACAGTTTTAGAAACCTTCGGGGACAGTCCTACTTTGTCCTATAAAGTTACTATGGACTTGGAATAGACTGGAGCTTTGGTGGTATAGTGGGCTGCTAGCCCCAAGTTCAGCAGTTCAAACCAACTGGCTGCTCTGGAGGAGAAAGATGAGGTTCTTTCATCTCATAAAGATTTATAGCCTCCAAAATCTTAGGGGCAGTTATAGACTTATAGGGTCACTATTAAGTCATAATTGACTTGTGACAGTTAGTTGCTTTTTTAATATATGTTCCTAACATGTTAGCTCTGCTAGCACTGCCGGGTAAGAGTGGAAAACCTATCGAGCAGAGAACCTTGGAAACCCTGTGTAAGGCTGCGCTGGGTTGGAATTGATTTGATGGCCATGGTTTGGCTTCTCTCCTATAGCTAACTAACTGAATTCTTCTACATGACTGAAAACCTAACAAAGGTAGTATCCAGTATTCCTGACTTGTTTTCATGACGTATGCACTTGTCTTTTAATATTCTGAGGAAACAGATTTGTATTGTTGATATGATCAGATTTGCATGTATTTGGTTGCGATAAAAGTAGACAGTGAAATCCAGACTCATTAAAAATTCCAAAACCAAACTCATTGCCATGAATTTGATTCCAATTCAGGACAGAGTAGCACTGCCTCTGTGTGTTTCCGAGACTGCTTCGTTACGGCATTAATTAGAAAGCCTCATCTTTCTCTTGTGGAGCAGCTGGTGGTTTTGAACTGCGGACCTTATGGTCAGCAACCCAATATGTAACCACTGCGGTACCAGGGCTCCTCCATTAGGACTTAGGTAGTAGGACAAATGGTCTAGGAAGTTGAAAGATAGCCTCATTGTTTCTCAACCTTTTCTCCATGTGGTTCAAGTGTGTGCTCTTGTGTGTGTGTGTGTGTTCATGTGCGCTTATTCTCTCTCTCTGTCTCTCTCTATCTCTGTCTCTCTCTCTCTGTCTGTCTCTCTGTCTCTGTCTCTCTCTCTCTCTCTCTTTCTCTCTCTCTCTCTCTCCCTGAAGCTATGCCTCTCACTTCACAATGTGAGTTCCAATCATATATTCTCTCAAAAGTTATTGGAGAGGTTTTTCCTATTTTTTAATGTGGTATTTTGTTTCATGTATTTTGAACATCGTATCAGGGAGAACGAGTCCCTGGAGAACGACATTGAGCTTGGCAAAGCAGGGAGTCAGGGATAAGAGGCAGGCGCGCAGCGAGCTAGGTTGACACACTGTCTGAAGGAATGGGCTCAGGTGCAGCAATGGCGGTGAGCACCGGGCAGCGTTTCTGTTCTGCTGTGTGTAGGGTCGCCGTGGGTCCCAGTCGACTTGACGCCATCCAGCAACAACACATGGAAAATAATTTTTAAAAGGGTAAATAATGAGAAAGGGAAAACCATCTGCTGACAAGCTGGTGCATGAGAACATATCACCGCCGATTTTCTTTCTGTTTTTTTGTAGGCCGAGTTTTTGTTGTTTAACTTTTAGGATGGATGCATGTCAGAGATTTGACTCATCGATGAGAGACCAAGCTGGATGGGAAAGCTAGTTCGAAATGAGTAGGGGAAAGGGAAATATGTACTTGCTGGGGAAAAAAAGATGAAATAAGATTTCTGAGTTCCATACAAGTCTAGTGAATGACCTACAGTATTCGAAAACACATTTGGAATGTTAAAACAAAAAACAAAAACAGAACAAATCATTATTTAATCAAATTAAATTTCCGTTATCAGCCCCGTATGATCCATTCTTGTTCCTCATTTGTTTGATTTCATGAAATATTTAAATGGGGACAAAAAGGAGTTCAGGTCGTCGCCTGGTAGGTATCTCCCTGTGATCTGTGCAATGTTAGCCCGGAAGCCTGGCCCCATAATCTGTCCTTTGAAGTATGGGGACTTATGAGTACCTGCGATAGTTCTGTCCGGGAGGGGTGAGTCTGCCTTGCTTTGTTAAAGGCATATCCCAGTCTGTGATTGGCCGCAGAGTCTTCAGGCAAATCTGAGAGGAAGTCGGCAAACACTTGGTGAGGAGAGTAGAGACTCTGGTTAGTTTACTGCGACACCCCCAATGACAGAACAAACCCACCCACTCTCCCACCCGAGCCAAAAACAAAGCCCCAACCCCTCACGGCCATGGAGTTGATTCCAACAGAAAGTTAATTTTCTACCAGAGTATAAGGACTGGATCTTACTTAATCAGTATCTCCCCCGAGAGTGAAGATGACGATAAATACCTTGGGCGTTTTTGCAATATTATTATTATAATAAGTACAAGTCACTCTCTGAAACCCATTTATACTAATGATATCATCCTTGTGCAGAATTATCCCAGGGAAGTCTGAGCTGTGCATTTGCCTTGACAGAGCTTCCTTTGTACTTCCTGTGAGGGATGAAGTACTTTAAATTAACGAGAATCCCAAACAAATCTATTTTTACTAGCCATCCTTTTTGGAATGTTAAAACAAAAAAACAAAAACAGAACAAATCATGCCCAGAGATCCTCTGGGAAAACCTCCGGTATAAAAAAATAATCTTGAAGATATTTTCCCTGAAATTAGGAACTAATCTTAGCAAGGCAAAATCAAGTATTAGTCAGAGGAGATTCGGTCACGTGAGTGGTATAGACTCATGGGCCCCTGAGAAAAGTGGACTCTTGTATGGCGCCGTCACAGTGATCGTCTCACGCCATTGATTGAGTCCATGCTTGCTTGTACAGACCCCGAAGGACAGGGTAGAACTGGCCCTTGAGTTTCCGGGACTGTGATTTTGTTTTTTTGACAGCTTATTGGCATATAGTTCACATATCACACAATTCAGTAGTATGTTGTCCCATCCAGAAGAGTTGTACAATCATCACCACCATCGGTTTTAGAACATGTAATTCCTTCTGGTACTCATCATTGTTAGCTCCTTAAATGCCCCCAAGAAAGCATTAATCCAGTTATTGTCTCTTTAGATTTACCTACCTTGGATTTCGAGATTGTTTTTAAATCATTTTATTGGGGGATCGTACAACTCACCACAATCCATACATCTATCTATTGTATGTCAAGCACATTTGTACATTTGTTTCCCTCATCATTCTCAAAACATTTGCTTTCTACTTGAGCCCTTGGTATCACCTCCTCACTTTTTTCCCTCCCTCCCCACTCCCCCCTCTCTCATGAACCCTTGATAATTTATAAATTATTATTATTTTGTCATATCTTACACTGTCTGATGTCTCCCTTCACCTACTTTTTTGTTGTCCGTCCCCCAGGGAGGAGGTTATATGTAGATCGTTATAATTGGTTCCCCCTTTCTACCCCACTTTCCCTCTACCCTCTGGTATCGCCACTCTCACCACTGGTCCTAAAGGGATCATCTGTCCTGGATTCCCAGTGTTTCCGGTTCCTATTTGTACCAGTGTACATCCTCTGGTCTAGCCGGATTTGTAAGGTAGAATTGGGATCATGATAGCAGTGGTGGGGTGAGGGGAGGAAGTATTTACAAACCAGAGGAAAGTTGTATGTTTCATCATTGCTACACTGCACCCTGACTGGCTCATCTCCTCCCTGAGACCCTTCTGTTATTGGATGTCCCATTATCTACAGATGGGCTTTGGGTCCCCAAATCTGTACTCCCCCTCATTTCAATGATATGATTTTTTGTTCTTTGATGCCTGATACCTGATTCCTTCCACACCTTGTGGTCTCACAGGCTGGTGTGCTTCTTCCATGTGGGCTTTGTTGCTTCTGAGCTAGATGGCCGTTTGTTTACCCTCAAGCCTTTAAGACCCCAGATGCTGTATCTTTTGATAGCCAGGTACCATCAGCTTGCTTCACACATTTGCTTATGCACACATTTGTCTTCAGCAATCATGTCGGGAAGGTGTTAACTATTTACAGGAGCAAAAAGCTTGTGTTTTCTCATGTGGATTGGATGGTAGTTTCAAAATGCTGACTTTGCGGTTAGCAGCCCAATTTGGACTACTAAAGTGGCAACAGAATATTTTATAGTAAATGAGAAACCTTAAGTTAAAAATGAGGCACTTTCCCCCATTGTTTTAAATATTCAAGGCTTTATCCCTGTTAGCACAAAGCTCAAGAAGTTTCTTTCGTACGTATTAAAACTCTGCTATCTGGGTAGATTCTAGAGCAGCGGTTCTCAACCTGTGGGTGTGGGCTGCAACCCTTTTGGGGTTCAAACGACCCTTTCACAGGGATCGCCAATTCATTACAGTAGCAAAATGACAGTTATGAAGTAACAGTGAAAATAATT